TAATTAACTAGTATGTAATGAAATATGATATGTTTGAAAATTGATACCTCGATGACAATTACGTAAATCGATTAGGCACTCGGTACGATTCTAAAGTTACTGCATGTAATATTACGTACATGCAATATTCGTAACTATATCAGATTTTAACAAAGTTGTCTTACTTGTATTAGATGACATGGTTTCTTCATCATCCGCTCAGTGTTTCATGGAATCCTTTCACAAAGCCTTAGCTCCGGCATTTCAACATTGTTTATTTTACTTTTTTGGGTGTTTACTAAAATATAACATACATAGACACTTGCCAGTTCTTAGGAATTAGACCTGATCCTTCCGTCATCATCATCAGTAGCCTTTAGTAGTCTACTACTGTAAACCTCACCGTAGAAAATAAGTTTTAGCCTACTGAACCACGCTGGGTTTGTATCTAATTTTTCTATTCTCTTCTCTTTGCAGTGTATCCTATGTAATTTGTTCCGCTAGTGGGCTCTTATGACACCCACGCCACGGGATGGATAGGACACTCAGTGTTCTTATTTCGGCTTCAAAATTTAAATGTGCCAAAAAAAGTTTGAATGCGAGCAGAAAGAAAGATTGTTGAACATTGTTGACTGACCAGCATTTTTATATCACAGGCATTTAAAAATTTAATTCCAACTTCAAAACAAAAAAGTTAAACTAAAAAAAACCTTTAAAAAAATCTCAAAGAAGTATGCCAGAGTTCCAATCATCTAAGTAGAGGAAATGGAAGTTTTGTGCCCGTCAACTTGTAGTGTAATGTTGCAGCCGGTATAAAGCAGTTCTCATAATACAAGCGATACTAATTGTAGAGTAAGGCTACAGTTCTACGCAACACCAAGCGTACAAGCCGACTCTCTGACATAATATCCTGTTTCTATAAACGCCGTAGATCCTATGTTGGCAACCGTTAAGATAAATGTAATCAAATGTAGACCAGCTTAGGCCGGTTTTGCTTCAACTCGAACTGGTCTAATATAAAAACGTATTTTTGTGTTAGGATGATATTATACATTTAGTTTATAGATGGATGTTTACGAATGAGTTGAATTTGTTATAGCATAGCAACAGCTCGGCTGCCTTCTCTTAATTAGATTTGTATTACAGGTTTTATATTTATATAGGTTATTTATTGAAGCATCGTTTACGCTATAAGTAGATATAGTTACCACCGTTAACGGAACTCAATCCTTGAAGAAGTAGGGAGTTTCTTCTGCAAGCTTTCCTGAAGTCAGCTGGCTGTATTTTGTGATGAGGTTCCCCTGTACTATGTTCCGAATGCCAACGATAACTTACCTGGACATCTAATTCAAAAAGGCTATTCTCCATTGAACACCAAATTTGTTAGCATTGTATTGATACTCACTAAAAGAAGGCTTGTGTATACTTGAATTACGTAATTTTACGCGTGAGTTTTACATCCTTTATCGGTTAGTTATGCGGAGTCCGTCCGCTAAGGTGCGACTCGCACAGAACAGCAAACACTCTCAATAACAACTATGGCAAGTATTGCAACATATCAGTAACTAATTGTAGAGCCTTTCGACATTTTTGTTCTAACTGTTTTGTATGTAAGGGATCAAATATGGTCAAAAAACATTAGGCCAAACATGTGTTGTGTGAACAGAGGTAGGTACAGACATGGTGCCGCCCGGCCCGTGTGAATGGGTAAAACCTAGGGTTGCAAACAATAATTAACGATTATGGTGTCCTACTTTATTTCCCATTACATTTACGTTATGAGTGTGATTATCAAATTGTTGTTCTGAGTCTGGGTGCTCTTTGTGTCCGTTTCATGAATGATAATGAAGTCCCCGCGACACAGGATATATCCCTAGTGCGGCAGTTGTCTTTTAAAACAAAAACCGCCCTCAAATGTACTAAATACATTTCGATACTTATTATAACAGAGCACGTTCTTTGCTATGTCATTTCTTCAAAAGGTAACGATGTGATTTAACAAGGACAGTTTTTTTTTTCATAATTTAACGTGGTCAAAAGGTTTAACGAGTGAAAGTAGTGGACAGTTACCAACATGACTAGGTTGTCCTACTAGGTGGTCCTACTGACGATTATTCTAGAATTTTAAACACATTATGAATTCCTGCCAGTAAAACACAGATGTGTAAACATAAATAAATTAATTTTAAATATAGGAATCACTTCTAAAATTCAACAATAAAACAAAATTCAAAGCCATTAACAATAGATAAAGAAATAACTTGTTACAAAAGGTCTTGGGTATACATTTATTTAATTATACACCCAAATAGTAATTGAGGAGTGTCAGCTCATCAACCTTAGGCTTATAACGCCAACGATGACAAGAGCCGAGGATAAAACTCAAATTATCATGATCGGGCAGTGCAAACCGAGCACGTAACTAAAATATCGCTCGTGTCAACAGTGAGATATGCTCAAAAGGCGTGGTAAGTACGACGTTATTTGCTATCTTCTGCTGAGCTGAAATTATATTTCGGCACATGGTTCGCCTCAACACGAAGCATCCTCTTTACATATGTGTATGGAAACCCACTCGGGCGTGTGTCACCCCACCGGTCTTTTCAAAAGCTGTGCCATATTGTGCCTAAAATAGAAGTTACGCGGGAATAGCTTTTTTCAAGAAATTCGAGCCCCTCTTAACGCCTGCTCATGCACGATACTGCCTTTGGGTAGAACCTCTCATCTAGGCGTCGCGTCGTCCAGGCACATGCTGACATCGCCCCTACTAGTATATGTAATGTATGCATATAACATTATCATAACTAGCTTTATAGACATAGTCATAGTCGTCATAAATATAATACATATCACTCACGATCGTCTGATCCCAGACTAGGCAAAGCTATAGGCCCTAAGGTAACCAGACTGCTGATAAACATACACACATTTATAACATTGTTAGCAAAGCCTCCAAAGCATTGGGATTCCTACTCAGAGTTTCAGCAGACTTTAAAAATATTAAAACAATAAAAATACTTTATTGTTCCCTAGTTCGCAGTCACTTAGAATACTGTTCTCAAGTGTGGAATCCGATGTATAACGTCTATATTGATAGAATAGAGCGCATTCAGAGAAGGTTTTTAAGATATGTACAGTATCGTTGTAGTTGCTATTTACCTGATTACGTGATCCGGTGTAAAAAAAATTATATTCTTCCACTCATTGAAAGAAGAAAAATAGCGGATCTGTCGTTTCTATTTGGCATCATGAGAGGAGCGGTTGACTCCTCTGAACTTGTGAGCAAAATAGCTTTAAACGTCCCGACAGCGCATCTTCGACGATTTAACTTGTTGCATGTTCCCAATGTAGATTCTAAGTACAGGCAAAACTCATACATGATCAGAGCGAGTCGCATGTATAATGCAGCATGCCGGAGTGTTGATATCGACATTTTTTTCTTCTATTATCACTTAATTTAAAAAACAACTCGGCAACGTTTTCTTCGACCAAGCATAACAAACAAATTACATTTATAATAACACCTATGTCTACTTTCCTATCATCCTACCATGTTTAGAGTTGTCTTTATTGTTCTAGCAGTGAAAACTTTTAATTGGCCTTCACCTATCACCACCTGATGGTGGTGATAGGTGAAGGCCAATTAAAAGTTTTACCTAGTCTTATATCAATTGTAATTCTAGCTGTAAGTTTTCCTAAAATATAAAAATAAAATAAAATAAAAAATACTTGAATATTTCTAAATCGCACATATTATAGGTAAATTACACCCAGACCCAGAACAAATGATAGTGCTCATCACACAATTGACTGTCCTTGATGGGTGTCGAACCCACGACCTGTGGCTTAGCAGTCAGGATCACTCACCACTAGACCAACTAGACTTGTTTAGACAAAAAACAAGACACCTATCTCTATCCGTGTGTGTGTTATATAGTGTCTACTAGCAATGGCATAAAATCACAATTACATTTTTTCGTTTCAGTTTTTTAAAACAATTTTTTTTATTAGTGTATTGTCATCGGTCCTCGATATATCTACAGTGAAATTAGTCTCGAGAAATTTTTGCATATGTAGTGGTGTGTATATTACTCAGATCTTAGAGCGCGTTTCCACTATATCGTTCTGGCCTATACAAAAATGTTTCGATATCCTAACATTACTATTTCATTTTATACTTATCCCTAGCAACACTCTGATTTTTGTTTTCAATAAAAACAAGTTTTTATTTTAAAGAAAAAGGTTTTGACTTTATAAAAAAAAAGGTGTGTGTGCGATTCACACACGATAGAAGTGAAACTTCAAAGAGGAGAGACCGATTTTTATTTTTTATTTTTTTTCCTTTCATCTAGGTTTTTAAAACTCCGGGCGGTCTACGGGGGGTCAAAATTTTTGTTATTTTTGGCCTAGGACGCACCGTTTCCGAGATATTTCAATCTAAAGCAAAAAATCGTCACTTGATAGTGGAAAGTGGAAACACGCACAAAACCAGAATAAACCAGTTTACGCTGTCCGCTACCATACACTACTACAAACGCAAAAATTTCTCCAAGCTAATTTACCTGTACAAAGTTTGAACGAATTCTGACCGTTTAAAGTCAGTCAAAATCACGCCCAAAGGAGTCGGTTACAAACAAACATAGAAGTGAAGCTAATATAAATTGTGTAAAAATCATTTCATCGCACCTGTGACTGATCTACAAAACCACTGCTACTTAATTATTATTACGCTAGCGCAAGACTCCCGAAAGGTCTAAATAAAAAAAAAGGTATCTTTGATAAAAATAATTTTGATTGTTTTTAATGCCTCTTATCTTTATCCATGACGAAATCACAGTCACATGTAAATTCCATGGCTAAAACCAATCATTTCATTAAATAAACCTAATTTAAAATTACAATAATTTCCATGGTTAGTGTCTTCTGTCGGTGAGACGTTGGCGCCGTGCGGCGAGTCTCGTATATATGTCGGCGAGTCCTTGAACAGGATTCACTGTCCGCTCTTCACCTCGACATTCAACATGAAAGCCTTCGTGAGTATTTCCCTCAATATTTTAATTTAATATAAAATTTTTGAGATTTGATTTTTATGCAATTGATTAGTGATTAAATGTAAATTGGTGCGGGTATCGCCTATGTCGAGTCTCGCCTGTGTATAATATGGGTGTAATACCCGTATTAATATCAACTTACAAAATGATAAATTACAAAATTAATTAAAATTAGATTATAATATCAGTTAAAATGTTTACAAATGTAACATGGTGTTATTTTGTTTAAGATTTTCTAAACAAATATATTATTTTACATATGGTTGTTAATAAAGTATATTTCTGTTTTAGTTTATTCATCAACAGCCTTTAATCGTCCACTGCTGGACATAAACCTCTTCTTAGAAAGTAGGTTTCAGCCTACTATACCACTCTGGCCCGACCGGTTGGTATAGGGTCTGTGTGAAGTTTTCCTTCTATCTGCAGTACTGTTGTTCTGCGTAGTTTTCTCCCATAGTCGGCTCTTACGACACCCACGGGATAAATAGGGGTGGTGACACTCTGTATTCTTAATCCGTCACCACACGTTTAGTTTATTATTTATTATAAATTGTAACATGTAATAGTTTCTAGGGCTAAGGTTTAAAATATCTGAGATTCTTATTTAAGATCTTCTTGTAACTAGTTTGACCCTAGTTTGGCTAAGCGAGAGGTCGTGGGTTCGATTCTCACTCAAGACAAATAATTGTGTGGGCTTTGTTATTTTATCCCATCCAGTAACATATTCGATTATTAAAAAACTATAGTTGCCCAAAATCTGCTTTCTAAGGAGAGGCCTATGTCGGCAGCGGACTATTAAAGGCTGTTGATGATAATCATAATTAAAAATAATAATAAAATGTTTACGAGACCTCATCAACAGTTAGGTACAAAAAATGTAAACATGCCAACGGAATATTAACACATGATATTTTATTAGGTGATATTCTGCGCATTAGTGGCGGTGGTGTCAGCAGGTGGTGTCTCTAAAGACAACCGCAACAAGCGCAGCTTTTGGCCTGCAAGCGGCTGGCCCAACGGCGGTTTCTATGGCCACTACGGCGGAGGCCAAAACGGATACTTAGGTGGAAACAACCTCTACGGATCCGACTGGGGATCAAGCAAGTCCGGGTGGGGATCAGGATCGGGATTAGGGTCTGGCTGGGAATCAAGCAAAGCCGGATGGGGAGTAGGGTCGAACCTAGGTTCTGGTTGGGGATCTAATTATGCCCCTAACTATGGTTTTGACCAGAACGTCGGCAACAAAGGCTATTTCTACTCTGCCCCTGTATCTAGCTACAGCTATGTCGCTCCCCAATCTGAATACAGCTTCAGCGCACCCTCGACTGGATTTGACTACTCCTCATCTTCAAACGGCTACAACAACTACGTTCCATCAAGTAGTTACTCAAACGTTTACTCCGTCCCTACCAAGACTTTTGAGCTGCAAGAATCTCACTCTGGTCCATCAATCTCCGTGGTCCCATCAATAGGCTACACTCTACCAACTAAAACGTACGTCGAAAACCCAACAGTCCAACAACAGAGTCACAAAGTCATCGAAGTAAGAAAAGTTGTGAACGTACAACGTGAGGTATTAGTTCCTCAGGTTGTCCAAGTCAAGAAGATCATCACTGAGCCCAAAGTCATCATTGAGAATCAAGTCGTCCCAGTCATCACAACTTACCCCAGTGGTCACAACGGTTTTTCTAATTCGTACGCCAGCAGTTCTTCTGGTAATAGCGAAATCACTTTGCCTTCCTCTAGCAGCAGTAACGTCATTGCATCAAGTAGTCAGGGCTCTTCTGTTCCCTCTGTCAGCAACTCTGCAGTGTACAGCAGCGGTCCGGCTGATGCGAATTCCGACGTTTCTTCTTCCAGCAGCATCGCTTCGTCCGGTAGTTCCACTTCCTCCGTTAGTTCAGTTTCCGGCAATTCTGCTGTGGCCAACAGTGCTTCTTGGTAAAGCGTCTAGTCATTCCATTTCTAGATTAATGTTAAATCTAGTGTAATATCCTCAGACTGTTTATATTTGTAACAGATTTTGTTCACACAGCATTAATGAATAAAACATGTACAAACATACTATATACATAATGTACTGATAACTTCAAATTTATAAATAAATTAAATATAGTTCTGTTGATTGATTTTATTATTTTAGTATTCAGGCTATTATTATAGTTTCCTTAAATATAGTTCCTACTGTAACGTTATGCGATATAAATTGACGCTATAACACTATATATAGTGTTAGTCTGGTACTAGTTTCATAAATATATAGGTATATTCTAAGTCTAACAATAAATAGAAGAGAGGGAAAAAAATGTGCTCTATGCCGCGCGTTCATATGATACAAAGCGTGTACTCGTATGTTGTTAAGGAGGTCACCGCGCGCCTTGTATTCGCTAATTTGTGTTGATAACAACTTAGAAGGTAAATAAATATTTAAAAATACAAAAGCACAGGCAACGTTCATAAATTATTATACCAAACCACTGTAGCTTAGTATTGTTATTGCTGTTATTCAGGATTTTACCTAAAGTGATTAACCTTATCATTTTAGATAATAATTTCAAAGATATATCTAAACATGTTCAAGGCTCTCTCTATTATACGAAAATGATAAATATTTATACAAATCATCCAAACCAATATTATAAATACAAAAATTAGTTTGTTTTTTATGTTTGTGAAGATTTCAAGCCTTAAATTCTTAACCGTGCATCGTGAAATTGTATTTTCACCTTGTCAAATGTACAGAAAGAGACATGGAGTTCCTTACATTCTGAATAAAGCACTGTTCTCGAAGGTCACCTGAAGTGATAGACAAAATGTATATCACTTCACATAAACGTGGGAGGGCCAAACTTTATCACAAATAAGTCGAGTCGGCCGGAGTTATTCCACGGCCTCGCAGAAAACCGGTGCCAACCAATTCTTTCGTGGCTTTCCACAGAGTGAGTAAGGTTAACGGAGCCCGAACCTTGACTGCACGGTTTAAGCATTCGCCACGCCGCTTCCTAGGTACTACGGGACGACACTTTGTGTGATCCACAAATAGTTGTTCTGTGTGATCCGTGTCAAAATTGAACCCGAGGCCTCGGCACAGCAGTCGCATACGCTACCACTGTGCCACCGAGGCAGTTGCACATGTAGGATACTTAGGTGGAAAGAACCTCTACGGATCCGACTGGGTATCAAGCAAGTCCGGGTGGAGATCAGGATCGCGATTAGGGTCTGGCTGGGAATAGTAGTAAGAATCATTTTCCACGCACATAGCTACTGTATACCCAAATTAGTTTCAACCTTGAAACCAGACTATTTTGTTTATTGACCAAAACCTGTTTCTATTCCTACTATTTTTAAAAGAATTCGAAAATAGAAAAGTTATAACTAATATCCGTTTCTTATTTTTTTTATATATCTACTGTGTATTTAATGTATCTGTGTTAATATCATAATTTCACCATAATATTCAGTTTTACAAAACGGTTATTTAGAGTAGGTATCTTTAATATGAATGAATTTAAAAATAAATAATATGTACAGCAGTTAAGTGACCATAGAATTGACTCGCTCTCGACGCTTCAGACGACGCTTCAGACAACGCGACGACGCCTCAGACGACGCTTCCGACGCTTCGCTCAACGCGCGTCAGCGTTTTACAGCGAGCAAAACGCCGAGTTGTGATTGGTGCAGATTTCAGTGCGGGCCAATCGCAGCGCCGCACGCGGTCACCGTGACGATCGAGTAGATGAGAAATAAACTCGAACTATGGCCGAGCGTGAGATGCGTCTGGTTATTATTATAATTCAAATGAGTGGAAAAAAAAAACATATTTTCGTTGTTCCTTTTGATCTGCTAAATATTTAAATTTTATATTTTTCACTTCTGTCGGCACTCCTGGAGTGCCAGTTTTTTTTTCTTCTGTTTAGACCAACACAGCTCAAATACTCTAACAGACGAGTACTGTTTTGGTCTACTATATCAGTGATCCTGACTGTGTAGCCCAGTATAGCCATAGGAAGCCATTTGTGTGATCGGCTCAATCGTTTGTTCTATCTTACTTATAATATTGCACATGACTATGTTGGTCCACAGTCTAGCCACCATATCGATGTAAATACATAAAATACAACGTCGGATATAAAATAGAAGATCACTCGTCGACTCAAGTTTAGACAATAATCTTTGTTGCAATGAGTCCATCGATTTTTGCATCACAACTTCGTGCTGATATGCGGTACTCATTTAAATTTGTCACTAAAATTCTTAAAAAAATTTGAACTAATCACATGCATTTTTTTTTCATTAGGACACATCACAACTGACGGTATCCTAAACTTGGCAGAATTAATTACACATCATTTAAAAAAGCATACATTTTCTAACAACTCGAGACAGCTAATTGAGTATGTAGAAATTAAACATTGACCGTTACGTTTACTATAAACAATGAAAATAAACCGCAAGGTGTACTTGTTGGAAAGCTTGCGCGGGAGGTCAATATTATCACCTCTTGAAATAGTTCCCTTATTATCGGGCCCGAAACCAGTCCGGCGGCATCCTGTGCTCTATGCCATATATGCTCTATGCCATATGATTCAAAGCGTGTATGTTGTTAAGGAGGTCACCGCGCGACTTGTATTTGCTAATTTGTGTTGATAACAACTTAGAAGGTAAATAAATATTTAAAAATACAAAAGCACAGGCAACATTCATACATTATTATACCAAACCACTGTAGATTAGTATCAGGATCTTACCTAAAGTGTATTAATATCAATAACATCTATATATTTTTGTATGTTTATTTAGTTTTTAGTATAATATCAAAAGATAAATATCAAGGTTCGTTGTTTCTGTTTTTGATGCAATTTTATAACACATTTGCATAATTTATTTATGACTATGTAATGAATTGTAATAAGCTTGTTTGGAAGAAATCTTCTAGTATGATACATATTACTGTCGATTACTTATTTATTTTACGATTTATTTATAGCTAAAGGTTTACAATTCTTGTGTTGTATTACACATAGATACGTACCCATACGTTTACATAGGACATAGGTTATTACCTAAGTAACAAAAGATGATAATTTCAAACCTGTTCTGATATGAGCAAGACATTTGTGCTTTTGAAATTAATTTGTTAAAAGAATAAATAATGTACATATTACTAATGTCACAGCTCGAGGGCGCACTTCCGCGACTCCGCTTCCGAATTTGTGTATAAATATAGGATAGGAGACTGAACTCGTCACACAACAGCAGTACATCAACACAACAACATGAAGTCCTTAGTGAGTACCCTCATAGACAATTAACTTATTATTCCATTAAGGTCCTTTATATTCTGAAAGTGGCAGAAACATTCAAATAATAAAAAGTTATACTTGTAAACAGTGATTCCGTTGCGGAATTTAAGACTACAGGGTGTTGTGGAGGAACGGGTGGCATGTCCCTCCTACACAAATCACCTCGCCTGGTCGGATATATATATATATATGTATGATGCCTGGCGGGCCGCGGCCCGACTGTTGATGTTGGAAAGCTGTATATATGCTAATCGGCGAGAGCAAAAGCTCATTCATAAGATACTCCGTAGTTCGGTGTTTTAGATGGCGCTGTAGTGTTTCTGTTTCTTTGTATCTGTTACTGTCATAGCCTTTTTTTATGGTATAAGGGGGCAAATAAGCAGACGAGTCACCTGATGGTAAGTGACTACCGTCGCCCATGGACACCTGCAACACAAGGGAGGGGGGGGGGGGGGGGTTGTTTAGGCTCTGTAGGCTTCTGTATTGCCGTCACACAACTATGGTCGAGCCTGCCCATGTACATTCTGTGTACTAAGTATCGGGAATTTGTCAATAAAACAAAAAATACAAATTATTCATCTAAATTTATTTTATCGCCTTCAAAGTAGGCCCCATCGCTTGCAATACAACATTTCCACCGCTTCACCCAGTCTTCCATACATTTTTCATAGGCTATTTGCGGTATGGCCTTTAGCTCATTCAGCGAATTTTCTTTTATGGCTTCTATCGACTCAAAACGTTTTCCTCGAAGTGGTAATTTTAACTTGGGAAATAAAAAAAGTCAGACGGAGCCATATCAGGTGAATACGGTGCTTGGTCGAAAACTTTTGTTGAATTTTGCGCTAAAAACTCTTTCACTATAATGGCTGTGTGTGATGGTGCATTATCATGGTGCAGCATCCATGAGTTGTGTTGCCACAAATCTGGACGTTTTCGGCGGATACTCTCACGCAAAGCTTCATGACGCCTAAATAATATTCTTTGTTCACTGTTTCTCCATCTGGCACGAATTCGGAGTGAACCACACCACGGTAGTCAAAAAAAACTGTCAGCATCACCTTGATTTTGGAGCGACTTTGACGCGGTTTTTTTGGTTTCGGCTCGTTTTCGAGACGTCATTCTGAAGACTGTTGGCTTGTTTGCATGTCGTACTCATAAACCCATGTCTCGTCGCCAGTTATTATACGTTTCAAAAAGGTCGGATCCGTAGAAGCTCGGGAAACCATGTCTTCAGCGACATGCTTTCGCTGCGCTTTTTGAACAAAATTAAGCTCTTTTGGAACTAGTCGAGCGGCGACACGTTTCATGCCTAAATTGTCAATGAGAATGTTGTGGACGGACTTAAAAGATATGTTCACCTCACTAGCCAACTCTCTCAGACTCATACGTCGATTTTCGAGCACTAGCTTCTTGATTCTGTCGATGTTTTCTTTGGTCGTAGCGGTTGAAGGTCTACCAGAACTCTACTACTACTTCTCGGCCTTCTTTAAAAGCCTTATACCATTCATAAGCCCTTGTTTTCGATATACACGATTCGCCGTAGGTATTTCGCAACATTTTTAGTGATTCACCACAAGAAATATCATTCGAAACACAAAATTTAAGGCACACTCTTTGTTCAACAATATTTTCCATTGTAAAAATCGCCGAGGACTCAAAACTATCACCAACAAAAAGTGTAGTTTAAAACAAATTAAATGACAGATCCCGCTCAAATTTTGCGCGCTTAATCAGTACAGTGCTACCAACATGCAGTAAAAAAATTAAGCGACCTCTTTTACGCGGGTCTTTTTATTGACATATTCCCGATACTTTTTACACAGAGTTGTATATGTATAGAATTATTTAAATGAACATAAAGTCAAAAGCAAAAGCTTTCTAATTAGAAAAAGATTATAACAGGACAAAAGCCTACTGCTAAGGTTTAGGTTCGATAATATTGCTATAGGTTAGCTGCACAAGGATATTAAGTTATTCCTAGGGCATAAATTTATTGGTTTCGGCTGTTACTACATCATCAAATATCATTCGTAAATATTATTACAACAAACACATTTACGTGTAAAGGAATTCATTATTGAAGATACATAGATAAAAAAAAAGTCAGTCATTGCGATTTTTGTATTTGTCATTAATTGACATCTGTTATAAAACGGAGAACTGCAGAACAGCTAATTAAATTATAAGTTTAAGCGTTAAATCATAATAAAATCTCTTTTCCACCAGGTGTTCCTCTGCGGCATGTTAGCCGTCTGTGCTGGTGCAGCAGTGCGACAAAAGCGCGGCTGGAGCAGCGGCTGGAATACCGCATTAGACGCTCTCAACAGCGGCTGGAGCACGGGAGTGGGCACTGTCACTAACGGCTGGAGAGGAAGTGAAGACTACCACGCACCTGCTGAGAAGGTCATTTTCGTCAAGAAAGTCGTGAACGTGCAGCGCGAGGTCACCGTACCGCAAGTGGTCCACGTACGCAAGATCATCACAGAACCTCGTGTCGTCACTGTCAAGAAAATTGTCCCCGTGTCTACCGGATACATTCCTTCAGGTTTATATTCTGGTGGATACAGTGGTAGATATGCTGGTGGATATAGCGGTGGCTTTACCGCTGGATCCGGCGGTGGATGGTGGTGAATACTCTAGTCAATGATATCTTGTCAATATACTTAATTAAAATTAATATATTTTTAAGTTTTCTTTGTATTTAATGTTCTTTTTATTAAAACAATTCTTTAGCATAATTTCATATACGTTCATGCGAATTTATGTGTTATTATACTTTTGGGGTTCTGTTTAACGAATAGGAAAACGAGACCCCTATTAATTTGTATGTAAGTCAAATAACACAAATTAACAATGTGAAACAAGTTTACAATGTCATGGAAATACCAGTAAACCTACACCTACCCACCTACCTTTACCACATTTATTATTATACTTAAATATCAAAAGATAAATATCAAGGTTGGTTGTTTCTGTTTTTGATGCAATTTTATGACACATTTGAATGGTTTATTTATGAATTATGAGTGGTAATAAGTTTGTCTGGATATGTAAAATAAGCATCATAATCGGTCTATTGGTTTAGGAGCTACGATGCTACAGACAGACACCCAGAAAGGCAGACAGGTTAAAGTTATAACCCTCTTTTCGCGTCGGGGTTAAAAAAAGTAACCCTTTTAACGTACGAGTAGGTATTGCTTGCAATGTGAAATAATTATCAGAATGAATGGAGAACCAAGGTTCTAACTCTACACGCTCTATTGTAACCTCTCATCATAGCGTATACTCGTAACGTTCTGCGTCCATCCTAATCTTAAGTTCTCTACAAACCCTACAAATTAGTCAAAATGTGTGGCCTGGCCGGTCTGGATATGACGAAACGAGAAAAGGTAGGTAGCGCCCTGCGCTTCCGTTGTTCGTCTTAGCGTCAAATACTGGAAGGAATTCCAATTACAATACCACCACTCATCGATATTCTCACAAATGCCAGAATTCAATTCAATTCAATTTATTTGAGATAATATGGGTTATACTAAAAGAAAAACAGGTGGAAAAGATACAGCTAGTTTCACCATATTAAGCCGAATGTCACAGCATGCAAAAATTAACAATAATTAAATAATAGCCATAAAATAACAAAATAATATCCAGTAGTGTCATTGTTCTAAATAATAATACAGTTCTAAAGTTAAATAATACAAAATAAACAAATAATAATAAATACAAACTATAATATGTCAAATTAATACGTCAAAATTTCTTTACTGATGTATGTCAAATGAATCTTTGTCTTATAGCATGATAACCAGCAGATGAGTTATGGGTTTCCCTTCACAAGTATTTTTGTTAATAATCTAACCTACTTCAATTAACCTAATCAATTGAAGAAAACAGGTTGTACCAATAATATTATAGACAAACAAGAGGTAGATACGCCACCAACGCACAAAACGCATGTGTCCTAATTAGGACCACACGAGCAAGCGCACTTACTAATTGATTTGAGAAAATTCAACAAATGTCATCCTGTGTATTCCGAAAGTGCACAAATTACGACAAAAAGGTAAATCTAGATAAAGGAATATCATACCACAAGTAAGTGTATGTTTTGTTCTAAAATGCATTAATAGTTGTATGGACGGTTACGGAACAAATATTTTTTGCGTGCAGTATGAATATAACTTATATTCTTTACAATATCATTGGGTTGTACAATTTTTATTTATTCTAATAGAGCACCTATCTGTGTACATATAATCTAATTACTAAAGCTCATTACAAGACTGATACTGACACCTTCGAGTCCTGCAAAAGATGAAGTAAAACTGAGTCACAAACGGTAACATTACACAAGCATGATTCACTGGTGGCAAAGTGGTCAAGTTACTACATTTCACAAAGCGATGCAACGGCCATCTGATAGGTGCCTATCTCGAAAGTTGTTTGACATTTGCCTTAGTAACAGTACACTCATAACGTAATAACACAGTAAAGGTAAAAAATATAGTAGTCATAAAATTTATAACAGTTTACCGAAAATACCATTTGTAAATTACTAGCTGTTGCTGGAAGTTTTGCTCGTCTTAGTACTATTTTGTATTATATTTCTGTATTCCAAACCTTAAGTAAAAATTTACTTAAGTTAATGGACAAGTTTTGATGCCGAAACAACAAACGGTTTATCATCTTTCGGAAAAAAAACATTTTGTAAAGGATGTAAGATACATTATGTCCTTTTCTGATAACATGTATGTAAAATTTCGGTTAGATGGCTAGACTTGCCAGCATCAGCCAGTTCGAGATACAGGTATCTTGACTTGTTTGAATTATTACTTACTCCCGCCTTCCACCCCTAATAGCATAATCATAATATCAAGGTATATCCTACTATCCTACCATTGACTACCTTCTGCTATTGACCTATCTTACCAACTTCGATATTGAACTCTCAATTTTCCCACCTAAGTCTTAATTAAAGTGCCCATACCCTAAAGGTCTAAAAAACGAAACTCATTGATTGCATTGTACCGATAATGCAAAACAGCAGTCGTCAGTCCCAGTCAGTCAAGCCAGTCAAGTCAGTCAAGTCAGTCAGGTCAGTTCCCAGTGACATATTACTGTTTTGTTACCCACGTCCATATTTTTTTAATGCTAAAACATTTTATATTGACGTGTATATATACACACAATGTATTTGTAATAAGCCTTATTATATACATTACTCGTATAATATACCCACGTTACACTTGTTCGTGCACCTTGACACCTTGTATTCCTAATTGCTGCAAAGATGTAACTTTACTCAGATGAGTTAAGTTACAGATTATTTACACTTAGAGTAAATAATTAATCTGCGGGCGCATAACAAGCAGTGGACGTGCTTTGGTTCAGATAATAATGATGATGATGATGAAATAATCTATTAATCGTAACTAAATATTCAGATAATATGAGAAATTATACCAATAGTAGTGGTCTGGGTGTTTAGAGCTGTGTTGAAACTCAATAATAACAGGCACTTTCTATCGGCAAGCAGCTTGAAACCGGTGCTAGGGTTTACCTCACTTTGTAATCGAACGCTGTATGTAATCGTTTCTTACCAGGGATATTCATTTGTTTTATTTAGACACAAAAAACAGAACACAACACAAAACTTAGTCTCATAAATAGCTAACACTAACTTCTTAGCTATGCTCCTAAATACATATGTGTACACAACATGGCAATGTAGGTGATACAAGACGAGATTACATACAACTTAAAAAGCTAAGTATTAAGATAAAATACGTGAAAAATTGTAAATATATAACAAAATCGACGGGCCTGTTGGTCTAGTGGTTAGTGACCCTGACTGCTACACCAGAGGTCGTGGGTTCGATTCCCACCCAGGACAAATATTGTGTAATGAGCACGGTATTATATTTAAAAGTAAACACATAACTATGTTTATCAGCAGTGTGATTACCATAGTACAGGCTCTGCCTAGTTTGGGATCAGACGGCCGTGTGTGAGGTGTGTAAAAAAAAAACGAAAAAAAAAATTAGACCAACGTTCATGACATGATATGCTGATGATATTTGATATTCTATTTGTATAGAAAGCTACATACCATCGTTTTCCCTACAGGCTATAGAAACATTATAAAGTTTCTATAGGAAAACCAAACCCACAAGGTAAATCAATGATGTTGCAAAACGTTTTTGGGTTATTGGTTTTGGTATATAAACATAGATTTAATAGAGGGCCTGACAGAAGTCATTAGCCAGTGCTACACACATAGTATAACAATTCTGGGTTTGAATAGGGTCTGGGAAGTTCTTAGAGGAGGAGCCTAAGGGCTTCCGAGTAGTAAAAAAAGAAGAAAACATTAAAAATGATTATTTCCAAAGTCCTATTTAAAGAACAAACAGAAAGTCGCTTGTTTAAAAAATAATGACTAATAACAAAGTCAAATGATTTATTTTATTAGCAAGATGACACTGACCTATGACAACATCTGTCTATCACCATCACCATCATTGAGAAATCGTCCGAACTTCCGTTTGTCTTAGTTTCTGTAACAAGAATAAAAGTTTTAGAACTCGTTGGGCACATAAATTACAAATATCCCATTAAATCATTTTAAATATACTCTCTTTTTAATTGACAGTGATCTGTAACATATATGTGTAACAGACGCAATGCGTCAATTTGTCTGGTGGCGAGGACGCGCTTGCGCAACGCGCCGCCCACCACCTATATATACACACCAGGAGACTCAACACAACATCACACAACAACCACACATCACTCCAACAACATGAAATCCTTCGTGAGTATACACATTTTTGAATTTTAAAAAAATATGTACGAACAGATATTTTCTTAACTAGTCAATTTAAATACACCTGTATGTCCATGTACTAATTTAACCGCTCCCTACAGTTTCAACTACGCCTATGTCACTGCTCCGCTTTCGTAACGTGAAGTTTTATAGCCTATATTAATCCTCAATAAATACTCTATCTATTACAAAAACAACATCCCTGAATGATAGTTTCTGAGATTAGCGCCTTAAATAAACTTTTTAGCTTCATTATATTTAGTATGAATATTATATTTGTGTGTAAACTCTTAATCAGCTGATCCTGTGCGCTCTGGTGGCTGTCTGCGCTGGTGGCGCAATCCGCGAGAAGCGCGGCTACAGCAGCGGCTGGAGCGGTTACGGTGGAGGACTGAGCGGCGGCTGGAATGGTGGGTACGGCGGTGGATACGGCGGCGGATACGGTGGTGGATACAGCGGCGGATACGGCGGTGGCTACTCCGCGCCTGCCGCGAAGGTCATCGCCATTAATAAGGTGGTGAACGTACAACGCGAGGTCAGCGTACCGCAGGTGATCCATGTACGCAAGGTCATCTCTGAGCCGCGTGTCATCACTGTCAAGAAAGTTGTGCCAATTTCTAATGGTTACTCCGGTGGATATTCCGGTGGATACTCTAGTGGTAACGGTGGATACTCTGGTGGATACTCTGGCGGTTACTCCAGCGGATCTGGTTGGTGGTAGACGTTTTAGTCAATTAAATGGTTTTTTTAAGTTTTTAATTTGTAAATAAACACTTTTTACTAATTTACTTTTTAATTATACATAGATTTACGTCCCTATCCCCGAATAGTCAGCGGCTTATTCAACGCTCACAATATGCCGCTAATCGTTTTAGTCCTACTAAATTGCATGCTACTACTTACATGCCATTACAAGGTATCAAACTCTAGTAGGAGAATATTTAGGTAAGCTTAACTACGCAGACACAGAAAACATCTTAGCAATTTTAAAATGATCGAACTTAAACTATAATTAGGTTATTAAACAATAAGTAATATATATTTGTATACAAACCAGTCTGAAGTAATTTACATTATCAATGTATTAGAACTTTAACATATGAACGTCCTGTAACTAACATAGTCAAGCGACTGCTTGAAACACAGCTCTCACACCTAGCTCAGGCCGTTTGCAAAAGATTTTTTAATATTTTGTTTTCAATATTAAGATTCAATCTTGCACATTTAAGAATAGTCATAGACTAGTTTTATGTTAGCTTTAGTAACAAACTCTAGATAAGAATCTAATGACAGTAAGATGGAAATCATACACATAATGTAACCTAGATTTTATTCTGATAAATTTTATTTTATTTCATTTATTATTTTTTTACTTAATAAAAGACAAGACTATCATTGTTAAACGGGCACTTCAGGTCCTTAGGGTATTAACTTCACATATCTCACACACGGCAGTCTGATCCTGAACTAAACAGATCCTGTGCTACGGTAACCTACATACATGTTAAACACAAATTACACCCAGACGCAGAAAAAATGTCATCGCACAATTATTTGTTCTGGGTGGAATCAAACTCACGACCTCCGACGTAACAATCAGGGTCACGTACCACTAGACTAACAGGCCTGTCTGATATATAGTAGTGGTAAACCCAGGAGTACAGTGAATGGGAAGGAAGATAAGAAGAGAAGGCTACCTGATGGTAGGATAGAGATGTTGCTTCTACGAATAGATTGGGGAGGGTTTGCAATAGTTCTAGCAAGTCAGGATCATCTAAATCTAAATCCATCATCTAAATCCTACCGACCAATCACATTGTTACCATCGTTAGGAAAGCTTTTAGAACGTCTTGTAGTGCCCCGGCTTCTGCCAGGTGGAGTCAAATTTCATGATAGACAATTTTACGTTGGAGTACAGGATTTACGTTGGGTAAATCGACAACTGACGCTGTTATATCGGTTAGAAAGTTTGTCACAGAGTCAAAATTTCAATACGTGCTGGCTATTTTCTTAGATATATCTGGCGCCTTCGACAACGCATGGTGGCCCATGCTGTTGCTGAAATTAAAATCACGGGGGTGTTTTAAAAATATTTAATCCCTTATCTCTTCGTACTTTTCACAAGGTACAACTAAACTAAGACTTGGTCATCATTCTGTGTCGAAGGCGCTTACAATTGGATGTCCTCAGGGATCGGTGCTAGGTCCATACTTGTGGAATATCGGCTTCGACGATTTTCTTACGATACCAATACCATCCGGATGTACTCTGAACGCGTATGCTGATGACGGCTTATTACTGGTGGAATCTGATACTAGGGCGGGGCTTGAGAGATTAGCCAATAGATGTTTGAACTTGATATCTCAATGGGGTGAACGTAATCGCTTAACTTTTGCACCCAACAAAACCTTCCAGTTACTTTTAAAAGGTAACCTCAAATCACCGCCGAGCATTAGATTTGACAATGTTACTGTAAAAAATAAAACCACAGTGTGTTATCTAGGATTAGTTTTAGAAAGAAACTTTTCATTTATCGAACATATTAAAATAGTTAATGAAAAGTCTAAAAAGAGTTTCTGTGCATTGACAAGGATATCAACTGCGACATGGGGTCTATCATTTAATACATTAAAGATCATATACGGAGCTACTTATTTAGGTTCTATGTGCTATGGTGCACCTGTATGGGCCGATAGGGCGGCCGTAGGCGCTGTCCGTCGCAAACTGTTACAAGGCCAACGACTTGCACTGATATTTTTGTGCAAGGCATATAGGACGGTTAGCACTGAGGCTTTGCCGGTGTTGGCAGGTGTCCTTCCGGTCGATCTCGAGGTGCAGAGACGTGCAGCCATGTACTATTCAAGACAAAACATGGAATGCGATTTCTTGGGCGCGCGGGATCGCGGTCAAATTACAAGATTGCTTCAACAGCAGTCCGATGTCTATAATGACCTCATAGACGAATGGCAGCAACGCTGGGACGAATCATCCAAGGGGCGCCATCTTTACCAATTTTTTCCATCTGTTCGCGAACGGTTGTCGAGGACATGGCTTGAGGTGGATCACTGTGTCGCTCAATTTCTTACGGGTCATGGTAACTTTAAGAGCAAGTTGTATTCATTTAAATTAGTCGAGTCACCATTGTGTCAATGCTCAACACCTAACTCTCATTATGAACAGTCTGCTCATCATATCCTCTGGGAATGTAGTCTTTGGTATAATGAACGTAATATAATGCTGAATAGCTTGCAGGTGACATCTGGGGCGGTATACTATGGGGATCTTGTGTCAACTAGGGTGAATTTCCGTGCGTTTAGGCGATTCTGCCATACATATTATAGAAATCAAATATACCTAGCTCATGTAGGACCCGTAATATTTTGTGGCCGTGGTGCTTCCCTGTTTAAAAGGGTGTATGCCTATTTTACTTCATTTTTTCTCCCGCTTTGCTAAGGAGGGAAGTGGATTTACTGTATTTCCAACTCCTCCAATTTTCTTCTGATTAATTTCGTTGCGGGTTCCAAGACAGTTTAATTTCTTCCTGGGACTTCCCGAGTGTCATAACTCGGTGTGTTCGTGGGTCACTGCTGTGGATCCTGGTGTACAGGAGTTACAGTGGTTGGCGTGTGGGTGGGATTAGTCCCATTAAAAAAAAAAAAGTCAGGATCACAGACGAAGAAGGTTCCAGGCCTCTAACTTCAATAAATACTATCATAAACCTGACTAACAAAACCTCATACATACAAATTGATTTACTGATCATATTACCTACTAGCTATTGCCAGCGGCTTCCCTCGCGTGATTGTTTATTATTTCGTGTTTCTAACTTTGAAAATGACGAACCATCATCATCAACCTATCGCAGTCCACTGCTAGACACATGCCTCTCCCATTGCACGCCACTTCGATCAATTTTACCCCCTTAGAGATGAAATTCCCAAAAATCTTTTCTTAGTGGGTGCTTACAATATAAAGTGCATCAGATACCAAAATTTCAAGTTTTTAGCTCCAGCAGTTTAGTAAAGCTGAGCTTTGATGAATCAGTCTAGACATGGATATGATTAGTCCTTTTAAATCATATTCATTTGATGAAATGATAGGTTTTAGGCACAGCGATTTCACATGTGATTGTGATTTCGTCATGGTCAAAGATAAGTGACATTAAAATGAATCAAAATACTTTTTATCAAAAATTACGCCTTTGGTAAAAAAGGAACCCTTATAACCCCTATAACCCTCACTTTCTTGTCCGTCTGTCCGTGTGTCACCACCGATTTCCTCAGGAACGGGTAGACCTAGCAAGTTGAAATTTATACCAGATACTGAGGTCTATGGTCCCTATTAGGTGTATAATCAAGTTCCTAAGTCAACACGATAAAAAGATATGGGCAAATGTCGATTTTCGCGAAAACTTGTAAGTACCAAAATTTACCTTAATTTTGAACTTTTTTTATTTTTCAGAATTTTCTCTTTACTTGTGCTGTAAGACTTTTAACCAAAATTGCCAATTCTAGGTCAACCGGAAGTACCCTATAGGTTTCGGGTCGAAAACCTATATGGTAGTTCCCGTTGACCTAGAACCACGAAATTTGGCAAAAAGAAACGTCTTACAGCACAAATAAAGGAATAATTCCAAAAAATAAAAAAAGTTCAAAATTAAGATAAATTTTGGTAAAATCTGGGTAGGTACGGACTCGTACCGGACCGGTTTTTTTTAGATTTGGGATTACGAATTTATTCCATCCCTAAATCAGTCAGATAGGGTTCGTAATTTTATATGTATAGATTTTGTACCTACTGAATATCTACTAAGTAATTTTCATCCAAGCAGACAAGTAACGATGTAGTTACCAAGCAACCAATAAGTAAGAAACTATAGCTTTAAAATTAACTCATAATTGTTATGAGGACGACTGGATGGCGTAGTGGTTTGTGTAACGGACTGCTATTACAAAGGTCGCGGGTTCGATTCCCGCTCAAGTCAAACATTTGTGTGCATGAACATTTGATGTTTGATTTGGTCTGGGTGTTTTTATGTATAATATGTATGTATTTACAAAAAAAAAGTATATATGTATTTATATCAGTTGTCTAGTACCCATAGTACAAGCTCTGCTTAGTTTGGGACTAGATGGCGTTGTGTGAATGTGGTACAATATATTATTATTATTATTCAACTGCATTCATATTGATTCGTGTACAGGACAGGCAGGACGCAAAAGCTGTCGGATTTGGTATTGAAACATTATCGTTGTTTTGAATGAACTAGGACCACATTTTTAAGAACGTCATTGATTTCGACTTATAAAGATGAGATGCAATCAAAATCATTAAAAAAATAACGGTTTGTGTGAAATAACAATGTAAATAGCGCCTACATTTTACATCAGTTATCAGTTAACGGCGGAATCTATTTTAATCAATAGACTAGATAAGGCTTTTGCCGTGCGAGAGCCATGTTTCGCAACAAATAGGTCGGCTACCACGGGCTTGGTATTAAGTAGCTATGGAATAAACGTACAATCACCTGTGACAAATTGATATGATTAATAATTTTTGATTTGACAATAACAAATGATTTTTAAAAAAAGTATAAATAATCACATCTGTGACTAATTTAAAAAACCAACTGCGACTTATGAATATCGCTATGATTATGCTAGCGAAGGACTCGCGAAAGGTCTAAATCTACAAAAAAAAAGAATAGTAGTATTTAATGTCGTAGTCTTTAATGAACTGAAAATTAGCAGTTATCTTGTCTATGACCGAATCTTACATACATATTATAGATAAACTACACCCAGACACAAAACAAATGATAGTGCTCATCACGCAATTATTTGGTGGAATTATTTGGTGGAATCGAATCCTGGCGTAGCAGCCAGGTTCACTAATTACTAGACCAACAGGCAAGGCAGGCCAGGTATATAATACAGGAATCAAATCGAATCATCGTATCTGACGTCTAACAGACACCATTTATAAATGGTTTCAAGTAAAATAAACTTTAAAACGTCTTTAACTAATAGGGAACTTAGAATGCATTACCTTGATTAGTGACAACCAAGTCTTGCGGTGCTATTCTCTATGGAAAGAGCCTTGCGTACAGCGCTGACACAGCGCCGAATTTCTTACTAGTAGTTTGAGATTCGACGATTTCTGCAATTGCTTTTCTCGGCTTTGAAATTTTTTATTGCCTTGAATCTACGATTCTTTCGAACCGGGGCACTTGATAGTGGCGCGCTTCTCTCCAGTTTCCAAAGACACTCACAAATAGGTAAATAGGTTCATTTGTCGTATCCAGGCTTCCGTATGCTAGTTGCTTTATGGAGCAAGTTTTTTATCATACTATATTATGATTTTGGCGGCCCTGAAACTGCCGCCCGTGGCAGGTGACCCGGTTTGCCCCTCCTAGATCACTAGGTCAGTTGATGGATGATGGACACCTACAACTCAAGAGACACAAGTGCGATGCCGTTCTTTGACTGCTTCCACCCCACCTACATTTAGGAGGAGGGTTGGAGGTCCGGTAACCTCGCTCACTTGGTGGAAAGCTATTAAAGAATTACTTATCATGGGTTTTCTGTGATGCCGTGGTATATCACTCTGGTCAAGCCAATCCATAAGTACATAAGCAAGGCTCTCCCACTGCGAGCACGGCTCTGCTAGGGCAACATCGCATCATTATGGTAAACACTTAGCTGAGTTTAAATCTGTCAAGTTTAGTCTCCGTTTATACACCAAAATTGAAGCTTACATTTGGAAATATTATCCAAAGCACAAATGCTTCTCATTAATTTTTACCTATTTGCCACTTGATTATCCCTTGATATTTGCAGATGATAGTTTTTCATCATCATCATCAACGGCCTTTAACAGTCCACTGCTGGACATAGGCCTCTCCTTAGAAAGGAGGGTTTGGCTAAGTATACCACGCTGGACAGACGGTTTGGTTTGTGACAGGTTTTCCTTCTCTTTGCAGTGTTGTTGTCCTGCGCAGTTTGCTCCCATAGTCGGCTCTTACGACACCGACGGGATGAAGGGGAGTGGTGACAATCCGTATTCTTAATCCGTCACCATAATATATGATAGTTTAAATTCGTGGCATTTTTCATATTATGTACGTCATAACTAGAGACCGGATTATATGCATTTGTATATTTGCATATGCTTTTGCTTATTTAAGCCATTCTTAACGGTAATAGCATATTTTACCTAAGATCTAGTTATGATGCATAAAATCGGTACATTTACAATATTTATCCGAGTACAGTGCATTCACCCTGTATTCCTAAAAGCGATAATATCGCGAATTCAACCTGGAACGCAGAGTCAGTAGCCGCGCGCGTCTTTTTTAAATAATTTTAATGTCATGTAATGTTACTGTACTTATTATCGCCAATCAAAAAAGAATTTACTCATTGTATGCTGATTTTGAAATAAAAACATGAAAACTTACTTTTCTCTTTTTTTTGGGGTTCCAAAAATTTATCATTTAATTTCGCACATTCTGCCAATTTTCATGCATATTTCAAGCATTTTTCATGCATATTTGCATGCATATAACAAGCTTTTTATGTTGCATATAATCCGATCTCTAGTCATAACATTTTTCAACGCCATCTATCGAAAACGAGACGGATTACACCGATCTCGTTAGCCATTGGGCTGTGATCTGCAAGACCCAACAACCCAGCCAGGTCGAAGGCTTAGTGTCTTTAAACCATTATAATGTGTTTCATTCACTAAATCATTGCGTTTAATAGATTTAACTGTCAAGATAGTATCTGTACAGTAAAGATTAAATGCGCTTAAACTATTATAATAGCTTGTGTTAGAAGCTTAATATTTGTAATGGTTTTATTACGCGATACGATTGCAATGTTTCTTTGTGCGAGTTCCTTGAAGGAAAGTTGAATAACCTCAGTGGCTACCTCCGCCAGTAAACATCCCTAAATGTGTGTGTGTCAGTATTGCCTCATTTGAGTACCTTACTGCCATTCCAGTTATAAACTAGCGACTTCTCTTTAATTTGAGTGTTATGGAGACAAATTGTTGTTCTGAGTCTGGATGTTCTTTATGTCTGTTTCATGTAGAGTCATTCGCTTCAAGTGTGCGCACTTTTACCTTTGAAGGTCCATTGTGCATTAGAACAGAGGGATTAAGAAAATAAAAGTATTATTTCAAATAGAGTGTTTATTAGACTTTAATTTAAAAGAGAAACAAAAAAGCATGTGCACCAGACTGCGTAAACTTTACCCGTATGGCGGTAAGTGTGCGTATTCCTGTAGGGTTAGTAGACACACGTATTCCAACCAATCACGGCCTGTCATTCTGAATGATTGGTCAAAGCGATTCTCAATGTTGTTAGCTGAAACTTATTATAAAACCAATCGCCTTAAGACATTTTTAGTATTGGAATGAATAACAAACTCTGCCTCTTGACTCTCATTAAACGTGGGCTTATACTGACCCATGGAAGTCGCAGATACGTTTAGTTTTAGCCTTTTGTGAAGACATGACTCGCATAAGCGAGCGAGAAAAGCAAACGAGCTGCTGCAGCAGCCATTGGTATGAACCAATGGAAATGAAAACAGTTTTTGCTCTTCTCCAATTTGTAGATCCTTAACTGGCGCAAGTTCAGGTTTTCTCGTTATTTAATTTTGGGGTTTGATAAAAAACTTTACAACAATTAAACAAATAATAAATGTAAATAAAAAAAATCTGTTAAATGCACAACATACACATATATTATGAATACTTTATCACTTCGGGGGCAAGTGTGCGCATGTGTCCACTTACCCGCGCACACTTTCCCCGAGAACCCAAAATTAAACTGAACATAACCTTAAATTACGATTATAAATTTTAAAAGAAATATGCCTTCAATTAAAACATAGTGACTTATCTACTGGTAGCCCTCAATATTGAGTGTATAACTGTTTTCCAGAACACAAAAAAATTACGATTCAAGCAAGGAAAAAACTTCTTTGCAAATTATTAAACAACGAAGCGTGATGCTGGGCAATGACATATCGCAACTAACGCTAACGCCCTTTTATGTTTTGATTACATTACCTTACCCTATATATACATGGTATATTGTCACTTCATCCGTATATAATGATGGCTTCACGGATCTAATCTCAAACTATCTAAATCAAATTAGTTGAGCACAGTTCAGAGAAAATCTATGTCATATCAAATCCACCCGAATTGTAAATTCATCCAAAGATCAAAACCGACTTCACAGACGGTGATTTCTTAGTGATTTTTTACAATTGTAATTTGCTAACAAAAACGATGGATTTTCGGAATTACATAAAGAAACATTTCTAAACTTTGTAGTTCCTGAATCCTATTCCACACCAGTATTCACCAGTGGCCCCAATCCATATCCCTTGAGACGTTAACTTTTAAGTCTGTGACTATTGAACACTGAAACAAAGCTTTAGGAAACAGATAGAACCTAAATATTTAAAATGATTTAATGACCAGTGCAGTTTGCGTGAAGGCTGTTCAGGTGCGATTGTAGCGCTTGATCATTGCGCTGATGTTCAGTGGGTTCGAGAGTGCGCTTGCGCAACAGACAGCGCCGCCCGTATTTATACGAGCCGGGAGTCGAACACAGCATCACATATCGACAGATAACTAGAACACCAACATGAAATCCTTTGTGAGTATCCACAATGTTTATCCTAACTACGTTATATTGTAAACAAAAATAATAATTTGTTAAAGAGATTATCAACTTTTACTAATCATTAGTCTACGCGTTGTGAAGGGTTTCGAAAAGTGGATAAGGTACCTTTCATCCATAAAAACTGATAATCCCAAAAGATAGTAAATTGATTGTTAAGAACTACATTCTTAATAAAATTGTCTCAGTATATAAAAACTGTGGGAATAAATTCCCAGTTTGGATCGTCTTTGACAAAGCATATCAATTTACATTGTGTGTACCGAAATGATACTAAATTATTTGGTCACATATTTTGATTCTATTTAATATTTTCTATTTAATATTTTCTCTTTCGCTTTTTTGCAATTTGTGGGAATAGTTTCGTCAAAACGCAGGGTAGTGTTTAACAGGAGGTCAGTTCAGATGTAACGTGTCTTATGCAACTACTGTGTAAGGCTCTCTTGTTTTTTTTATGACACTTTTAGTTGCCCGAGGTTCCACTTTATATTACTTACGTTACGGTTTTTGCTTTGTGTCATATCGTCGCGTGTGATGTTACTATGCTGCTGAACTACTCCAAGAATTAGATTTTCAAATTGAAGAAATAACAAATTTTGAAAAAAATCTTTATCTGTTTAAACATTATCTTTAGCGTTTTAATATTAGTATAAATTTTTACTATTTTGATCTGTACGCTTTGAATGGTTGAGTAAGGGTAGTTTTTGTAACATAACTATTGTGTTCAGGTGGTACTGTTCGCTCTGGTGGCGGCGTGCGCTGGTGGCGCGATACGCGAAAAGCGAGGCTACAACAGTGGCTGGAACGGTGGATACAGCGGTGGTATCAGCGGCGGCAGTGGTGGTGGGAGCGGTGGCTACTCCGCGCCTGCTGCCCAGGTCATCTCCGTCAACAAGGTGGTGAACGTGCAGCGCGAGGTCAGCGTACCGCAGGTGGTCCACGTCCGCAAAATCATCTCCGAGCCCCGCGTCGTCACCGTCAACAAAGTCGTACCCGTCTCTAGTGGCTTCTCCGGCGGATACAGCGGCGGACTCTCTGGTGGATACTCTGGCGGTCACGGTGGTGGATATTCTGGTGGATTCGGTGGTGGTCACTCCAGCAGCGGTTGGTGGTAAATAAACTAGTCAAAGCGAAAGTGTAACAGGGTTTTGCTAAAATAAACATTTTTACCTTTCAAAATATCGTTTCTATGTCGCCCAACCCCCATTTTAAAGAATGAATTCATCATCATCATCAACAGCCTTTGCTTGTCCACTGCTGGACATAGGCCTCTCCTTAGAAAGGAGGTTTTGGCCTACGATACCTTGCCGGCCGGACGCATTGTTATAGAGTTTGTTTCGTTTTGTTTTTTTTCTCTTTGCAGTGCTGTTGTCCTGCATAGTTTACTCCCTTAGTAGGCTCTTACGACACCCAGGGGGTAAATAGGGGTGGTGACACTCTGTATTCTTAATCCGTCACCACACGGATAGAATATATTAACAATGCTCAAATATCTTAGCTATTATCATTAGTTTCCTAAACAGAAAGAAAGTGTAGTGATCTTTAAACATACAATCGCGTATCATCGTACAAAATAATACGCTATCGTCACAAGGAAATGCAATATGGGATTACTGTAATATTGGATAAATTCTTTAAAACTCAGCCATAACATTGCCTTGAATAATGAGTATTGATAATTAACATTTTATCAATACTCATTATTCAAGGCAATGTTATGGCTTACAAACACCTTAAACTTAATGATGCTAAGCAGCACGGGCCACACAAAAACATGTTAATAGACCATTACAAATACAAAACAAAGGAGATGGTTTCTCTTTTCTTCTATTTATACATAGGTGTTGACAAAAAGCAGTTATTTAGGTTAGACGGTTGATATCGACGAAGTGACTAGTAAATACTATGGAGGTACACTCCATAGGAAACACATACCTCCCCTCTGCTTACCCGTACTTATCTCCCGTAACAGGCCAGGTACCGCAGACGACTCAGGCACTGGAGGTCGCATAATGACCCTGTGCTCCATAAGCGCAGGCCTGGGAGTGACAGGTGAGGTCATCTGTCACCCTAACAGAAGCTGGCCGAATTGACGCGCGTAGATGTCCCGAGGTCCGTCGGGGTTTCAGGGATTTTCTTCCTAGGGTATACCGGTGCCCCGACTACATCCACTGATCCATGTCCGACATAACCACCGGTTGGTGGTGTCCGAGGGGATTTCCACACAGACAAAAAAAAGGGGGATAAGCAGAGACGTATCGACGTACCCTAATTCATCTAAGTACTTAATGAAAAATATATTATACTTAATGTATTATTAGTATTTTACCTAGCATATTGAAAAGAAAAAAGGTGAAAGAATATTTTTCCTACGGATAAATTGCATCAAAGTTTGCATATAAATCGAGCTAAAATCATCAACAGCTTTAACAGTCCACTGCTGGACATAGGCTTCTTCTTTGGAGGTTTGAGCTTACAATGAGCTAAAATAAACTTATTGAAATACGTACATATACATACACTGATGTTTTTTCAAGAGGGGGTAGTCCGAAGACGTTTCAAACATCCACATTCTGCAGACCACGATTTCATTTCCACTTGCGTGTTTATGTGTTCCTCTTTGTGTATAGATAAATAAATAAAAATATGATTACTAAATTAGTTAATACTTTTATTTTAATTAAAATTTAAAAAATAATAAAAATAAATTTGTTTAACTAGAAACAAGCGTGTGGTGACGAAGTGGTTCGACGATGACAAAAGATAAATTGATAAAGATTATTATTAGATCAAAACTAGCGTATTTAAGAATGAACTATATATAATCAATTACGTTTTCAATAAATAACTAATTAAGTGCCTTCTAACATCTTTTATTAAATCATTAAGAAAAAAGTGCGGACGCGTACCTAAATGTCTCGCAAGACACGAGCATGCGCGAGGCGACGCGCCGCGACGCTGTGCACTGATGTACTTTCATTGTTTCATAATTACATTCACACTGATTACTACACGATAACAAGCCACTGAACACAGCCTTCGTTTTATCATATCTCGATCAACGCTTTATGAAACAATATAATTACATTTGTTCAAAAAATAGATATAATTTTTAACTAGTTTTATGCCTTTAACTAGTGTTGTTGAGAAATATCAAATATCCGTACTAATCTATAACTGTATTGCGTAGTTGGCAGCCACAGTCAGCCTTCCTTTCGTCTCAGTCAACCTTGGGGCTACCACACCGGACCTTCATTACCCTTCCTAATAAACAGCCTATGAGAACTAAAATTATAATTGACAATTTATATGATTAGGAAATGCTAACGATTATATATGCAATGATATTATAAGTATACAAACCAGAGCTAGACACGCCACCAACGTACAAAACGCGAAGGACAATTCATAAAATGCTTTCCTGTTAATTCGGAAAGTGCACAAATTACGACAAAAAGGTAAATAAAGATAAAAGAATTTCATTAAGTGTATGTTTTGTTCTAAAAAAAAAAAATTGGAAAAAGTAATAGTCGGTAGGTGCAAGGTCTGGTGAGTATGGCGGATGAGGGAGAGCTTCCAACCCCAGCTCATGCAGCTTGGAGACTGTCTGTTGCGGAGTATGAGGTCGCGCGTTGTCGTGAAGGAGCAGTGGGGACGACCGATTGACCAATGCTGGTGGCTTGGTACTCACCAGACCTTGCACCTACCGACTATTACTTTTTCCAAAATTTAGACAACTTTTTAGTGGGTAAAAAATTCAATTCCCGAGAGGCAGTACAAAATGCCTTTGAAGAGTTTGTTGCCTCTCGTAGAACTGATTTTTACAAGAAGGGCATCAATAAACTGCCAATGCGTTGGCAAAGATGCGTCGATTGCATGGGTGATTACTTCGAATAACAGAAATAAAAAAGTTTGAAAAAATAAGTACTTTCACTTATTGCATACAAAACGGCAATTTCATAGGTAAAGACCTAATATCATTGATATATCTGTGTGTGTAAACATATCTGTGTCTACACAAAATGTCTTAACCACTAGCGAGTTGTGACTGCTAGTGGGTGACATATGGGGCGACTGGACTGCAGTGATACCTTGACCTCGCAGAACACCAGTTTTAGGCAATTCTCTCATTGCTCTTCACCGAGTTACACTTGGAAGCAGATCCCAACTTGGTTCCACTCGGTTTACGTTTGTAAAAATATGCAATTAATTACCAAGTCTGTGCGTTTACCTCGTTAAATATAGGTATTTTCGTTAATTATATACCGGCTGGCTAATGACCTGAAAACATATATATCTATACTAGCTGACCCGCGCAACTTCGTCTTCGTCTCTCAATAGTAATAAATTTTCTCCGTTTTTGAAACATTCTTCATTGGTGCTCCGCTCCTATTGGTCTTAGCGTGATGATATATAGCCTATAGCCTTCCTCGATAAATGAGCTATCTAACACTGAAAGAATTTTTCAAATGGGACCAGTAGTTCCTGAGATTAGCGCGTTCAAACAAACAAACAAACAAACTGTTCAGCTTTATAATATTAGTATAGATAAATAACTTGTATCACACTAGTAATCTTGTTTAAAAACGGTTTTAGCATTATTTGTAGAGTCTTCATCTAGAGTCATCAATCATCAACAGCCTATAATAGTCCATTGCTGGATCGGCCTTTCCAAAGAAAGGAGGATTTGGCCTACTATACCCCGCTGGCCAGACGGGTTGGTATAGGGTTTGTTTCAAGTTTTCCTTCTATTTGCAGTGATGTTGTCTTGCGTAGTTTTCTCCGTAAGTCGACTTTTACGACACCCACGGATGAAGGGGGGTGGTGACACTCCGTATTCTTCATCTAGAGTATTCCTTTTTAACTCTAATCATAGGAAAGGTTGTAATTAGTTTACGATTAAGTGCCTGGTGTTATTTAAATATATTTTTGATTAAATAATATAAATTTGATCACGAATTTTCATAGCTAGAATCCAAAAAAGCTGTTTAGCCATTTAAAATTTGAATACCGGTATCTTCGCTATCCCTATAATCTGGAATCAGCAGGATAGTCTATACTTTACCAACTAAAGATAGCAAAAGGGTTTTTAAAGGAGATCTCTGATTTCCTTACTTCAGTGTTCAGTATTAACCAATGTAATTTACTCTTAAACTCAATTGTCCAAATCTACCTTTATTCACAGTAGCGTAAAAATAATAATTTACTCAATGTATTTCTTCATGAAGCACAAAATGTATTACAAGAATAACATCGGATAAAGCAATTTATACATTTAATAAATTCTTTTAACATTACATAAAGTACACTTAAACAAATTGCAACATGGTACGCTCTAATTCAAGATTATTTATTCTACAGGATTATTGGTAAAGTCGTCCTAAATACTTTAGGGGGTTGTAGTTGCCATCATTGCTGGTTTTCTAATTTTTCTTTTTTTATGGTTTTTGTGTCGTTGATTTGTTGCTTTATACTTCTAAATTCTTTCACTTAAATTTTAGTTAACCTAACAAACCGGGCCGAAGTATTAGTTGACAATAGGGAAAAGAAATATAAAAAAATGTTTGTTCTTTGACGAATATAAAAAAAATATGAAAGCTAAGTTACAGATCTGTTAAAAAAACATGTACGTATCGTCAACTATATAACAAGGTATGATAGTCTAGGGGAATATCAGAATTCACAGAAAAAACTTAGATGAAAGACGGGAGTATTAAGAATTAGGGTACAACCCGTTAGTAACTAGCTAAAAACTTGGCTTGTATTTTTGGACTGTTTTCTGTTCTGTTCTTCGTGACTAACTATTGCTAACTGGACTTTGATTTGCGCTTCTGATACTGTTGAAGGTGGTGAAGGATGACTTTTACATAATATGTTGATATTTTGATTTCTTGCGGATACTGCCAATGCGTATCCGCACAAGCCACCCAACAACCTCTTCCAATCTCTAATCTCTTTTTAATAAATTTTGATTTTTTTTAATGTCATAGAATTTATATATATATATATGTCATTTTTTACAAAAACATAAAAAAAGAAAGAAATTGAGGATAAGAGTTCTTAGAAAATCGTATCAGGCAAAAAAAAATCGGCAATTTCTATAAAAAATTAAAAAGTCCAATATTTTGCAAAGGATTAGGTTACGGATATGGTATTTCGTCGGCGCTGCACGAGGGCAGACCTAGAGCGACTTTTAACTAATCTGGGTGAGCCCAGCGTCGCGACGAGGCGGTTGTCCGGTGTGGGTAGCGGGTATTGGCGGTTAGAGCTATAGGTGGTTACCGCACTGTGTCGACGGAGGTGGAGGCGGCTGAATTTGGAGGCGGAAGTGCTCACCGAAGTTTATCGGCGGACGACTGAGTTTTAGGGCGGTAAGCGGCAGTCCGCCCCCGTCCAAAGAAGTACGCGAGTGGTGTGAGGCTGCTGGTCGAGCCACGATAGTTCCTTGGTCGTCTCGTCTGGAGGCTCCACTGGAAGCGGATCTTTCGCTACCGGCCGTCATACACCATATGGACGGTAGTGACAGTTGTTTTACGAAGACGTCATATCGCAGGGCCCGGGAGGATGACATCCACTTGGACCCAATCGGCCGTTGATAACCCGGGCGGCGGGTGCCTTATGCCGCCCTGAGAGTGGTCACGGATGGACGGGACGGGTTTTTCCCTCCACCCGCCATAACGGCCAGCCGAGGAGGCGTGTGCCAGACGTCGCCTAAATGGAGATTGTACTCGGGTGGTGCTCGCGCCATTGCGGGCAGGCACTAGGAGAGGTCCGGATGTCTTAATTTACAGCAGTTGGCAGATCCCTCATATTACAGGCGCAAAGTGGCACACCGTGTGGTTTTAGTCGGTTCTGACACACCACCCCGCCGCAAACTCCGGTAAGGTGACGGCCCGAGCAGGTTTGGACATGTAAAAAAATGTTGTATTGTATGTTGTGTAATAATGACCACTACATCATCATCATCATCAACAGCCTTTACTATCCACTGCTGGACATAGGCCTCTCCTTAGGAAGGAGGTTTTGGCCTACTATACCACGCTGGCCAGACGGGTTGGTATAGGGTTTGTTTCAAGTTTTCCTTCTCTCTGCAGTGCTGTTGTCCTGCGTAGTTTGCTTCCTTAGTCGCCTCTTACGACACCCACGGGATGAATAGGGGTGGTGACACTCTGTATTCTTAATCCGCCACCACACCAAACTTTTTTTTTTGTAAATACATACATATTATACAAAGAAGCACCCAGACCAAATCAAACATTAAATGCACACAAATGTTTAACTTGAGCGGGAATCGAACCCGAATTAGTTTATTAAGATGGATTCTTTCATACGCAACTTGTATACTGTTGTGCTATCTTTCTGTAGTATGCGCTTATAAGAAAAGTCAAACTTAACTAAACAGTGTCAGTTTCATATCTAAAGAATATTTTGCAGTTCCAAATAAATTATTCAAGTAATCGATAACGCTATAAAGTTGTCCATAAACGATGATATCAGTCTTCTTAATAGATATGGAGCATGTTTGCAGACACAAGCCACATCTAAGGACCTGGACAACCACTGGACCAAAATATGCATGATTCATGCCAAGCATTTGTGTCCAATTAAACTAAAAAGTATATAATTACAATTCGCTCGTAATAAAGTTACGTCTCACTCGCTGAAATAACGCTCTTCGGGCTCGAGGACAGTCTTGCGCAAAATACCGCGGCATTAGTATAAATATACCACAGGGGAGTCAACACAACATCATACAACAATCACACAACAATATATCAACATGAAATCCTTCGTGAGTATTTTATAATTCAAAACTTCCTTTTTTTATTTATTTTGTTAACGCTTAATATTTATAATTAGCTTTGTTCGAATGGCCGTTATAAATGCGTGTGTAAGTTTGTTGATCATCCTGGAACTTTGAAGATGCTTTGTCAGGGGTACAAAAAAGGCCACAGGGTACTTATATCTTTATCGTGATTCAGAAAAAAATATCAACTGTTTCCGAGAAATAAATGTACTGATCGACAAAATATGCAATAACGCGAGGAAAGCCAATCAATCATACAATGTGACCGGTACTACTCACGTGTTCATCTCTCGGCGGGGGGCCAGAGGCCTCTACCACTGCACACAATGTAGTGTCTGACACTGACGCGGAAGGTCGCTTCAGGCCTTAAAGCAGGCCCATTTTTTTTAAATTTGACTTGACTTGAGTACTCTATAGAATCGATGCAAGTATATATAGTTTTATGACACCACAAATGTGTAAAAGACACCATTGAAATACATTTGAAAAGTCATATTACATAGACTTATTAGCTGATAAGATTTTGTTAATTTTTTTAAAGTAAATTGTGTGTTTTAATGAAACTATTTATTATGGTATTTCAGTTGGTTCTGTGCGCTTTGGTGGCGGTCTGCGCTGGTGGCGCGATACGTGAGAAGCGCGGCTACAGCGGCTGGAGCGATGGATACAGCGGTGGACTCAGCGGCGGCAGTGGTGGCTACTCCGAGCCCGCTGCGAAGGTCATTTCAGTTCAAAAAGTAGTTAATGTGCAGCGCGAGGTCAGCGTGCCGCAGGTGGTCCACGTGCGCAAGGTCATCTCCGAACCCCGTGTTATCACTGTCAACAAAGTAGTGGCTGTCTCTGGCGGCGACGGACTCTCTGGTGGATACTCCGGCGGTCACGGTGGTGGATATTCTGGTGGATACAGCGGCGGAATCTCTGGTGGTTACTCCGGCGGTCACAGTGGTGGCTATTCTGGTGGATACAGCAGCGGTCATTCCAGTGGATCTGGTTGGTGAATATTATAGTCAAGAGGAAGACTTTATACAATGTGAATTATCTAAATAAAAGAACATTACTACTTCTAAATACTTGTATTAATTCAAATAAGTCAAATCCCTATTATATGGTACTGAAGTATGTTATTATTTCATTGCATGCGGGAGTTGCCACAAATTCAACTAAGTCTAGATTCAAGATTAAAAACAAATTTTGATAAATAGATAGATAGATAAATACTTTATTTGTACACAAGGGTTTTACAGACATTATAAAGTAATTAACAACAGATGTAATGTACAAAGGGCGACCTTATCGCTTAAAGCAATTTCTTGCAGGCAACCTTTGGATGGATTCATTTTGAACTGGTGATAGGTATACAGAAATTAGAGAAATAAATAAGGTCTTAACCTATGAAATATTTATTATATATAAATCTTACTATTCTAAATTTATACATAAATACTATACATACATACGTTAATATACGCATACGGTAATTTCCAACTATCAGAGACAGATAAAGCGCACGTCTGATAGTAGCCGGCAAGGCATTCCATAAACGTACAGCTACATACATCTACGGAAAATGTTTTTGTGTAGAAATTGGTAGAATGCCTTAGTATTTCCAATCTCAGGCTTTCAGAGGACCTCAGACATTTCATATGTGTGTCATGATAATAAACATAATTTTGGTACTGCTCTGTTAATCTTTCAAAATTATAGTTAGGTATTACATAAATTTCTTTCATGGAACGATACCAAGTTTATAAGCAAACTTACTAAGTACTTGTCCTAGAAAACGATGGAGCCCACAACTCTCGATACGTTTTATGAAATCCTATTAAATTATTTTATTGTTAGTAACTTTGCCTTTTGATCCTGCGGAACAGAATTTCTTTCAAGTTGAAAGATACCTATGTCCTATTCGGTATTTGACCACCAACAACGTCGATACAAAATTACATATAAATGCGTTACAATCAAACAAAAAATAACACTCCATTTATATCATCAGATTCTACACTACACTACCTTCATCAGAGATGGACAGAGGCGTATTAAAAATATCTACAGACCATACTGTCCTGCTCATCGCACAATATTTTTCCTTGGAGGAAACTGAACCCACGACCTCTGACAGGGTTTCAAACCAATAGACGGTCCCTTTGCTAAACGGCTTTAGATAAAACTGATACAAATACTTACTTGTGTGTTTAAATAATAACATGATCCTTGCAGATGTGAGCAGAGCAGCACTATCCTTACTCATTATAGCGTAATGACGCCTGGCTGAGTTACAAAGACATTAATAGGTTCACATCGAAATCTGATGCAAGCCTTAATCCTTGTGCTGCGAAGTGAAAGTTATTCCATGATTAATTGGTAAATTGGTTTAAGAAAGGCACAGCTGGCTGTGCCTTTCTTGTAGTGTAATGACGCTGTGTAGTGTAATAAAATCCGTGAAGTAACGGATTAAGAATACGCAATGTCACTACCCCAATTCATCCCGTGGGTGTCGTAAGAGCCGACTAAGGGCGCAAAATAACGCAGGTCACCAGCACTGCAAAAAGAAGGTAAACTTGACACAAACCCTATACCAACCCGTCTGGCCAGCGTGGTGTAGTAGGCCAAAACCTCCTTTCTAAGGAGAGGCTTATGTCCAGCAGTGGACTATTAAAGGCTGATGATGTGATGTGATGACAGCTGGCTGTGGCATGTTGTCAATGCGTAACAGGAAATTCATATTTATATTAGATATTTATTAGATTATACGTGTGGTGATGGATTAAAAATACGGAGTGTCACCACCCCTATTAATCCCGCTTAAACCACTACGCCATCATGCAGTCATACCTCTGATATGGCTGCTGCCAGTTTTATGTGTCTCTGTTTTACAATAATAACAATAAGCGTTGTATTTTTTTCAGCAGTAAAGATCAATGCTATTTAAATTCCAATGTAACAAATATCGAAATTTTACGCATTTAGGCCTTTTACATCAAAGATGGTCACGACGTGGATATAATGGCTGAGGCAGACAGGAGGCGTAGGGGAGACGTGTCTTGAGTAGCTTGTAGTGTATTAGTGAATAAGAGTAGATGTTCAAGATGTCACAGAACGCCGTCGCGACTTCTATGGTTTCCTTATGAACTTAGAACCCTTGTGCGTATTTTGTGACACAACTTAGTGTGTATTTATGCGGGCTCCTGGATGGTTTAGATTCGCATTTTTGCTCAGTGGGTGACACTGTAATAGATTCTATTTTTAATTTCTTGATACTAATTTTAACTTGATCTAGCCTAACAAACAAATCCTCGGCCACTTCCGCATAAGGAACAGACGATCTACTGCCTAGTCGCACATTGTTATTGAACATGTTTATGAACTAGCGATGGTAAAATATTATTTTGCACGCTAATGTAAGAACCACTATCCTTTCTAAATACTTAGGAAACGTATGATTATCACGAAGACTTTATTTCTATTCTATTTATTCTTTATTGTACACACTGAACACATACATATATATAAGTAACAAGGAAATGTCATGTACAAAGGCGAGCTTAACCCAAAACTGAGTTTTCTTCCAGCAAACCTTGAGCGAATACAGGACAACAGAGAAACGTAAGGGCACAGTCATGCGTACGTAGGAATCAACACAGAAAAGTATAAAAATTAAACAAATACCGACATAAGTTAGGATAGCAAAATATATTATACGTTTACAAACATATACATATATATATACACACATACATACATACATACATACCAAGGGTCTGATTATTGAAGGGACAGATAATAATCCCTGGTTCTCCTCCTGAACACGCTAGGAGAAGGGCTATTGCGTATTGCACGCGGTAAGGCATTCCATAGTCGAACAGCGGCAACGCTAAAAGAGTTGTCATAACGACTCGAAATGTGGGAGGGAGTTCGAAGGATGAGAGAAGAAGAAGAGCGACAAAGATTGTTCCTGGGAATAAAGTGCTCGAAGCGCTCACGGAGATATGAAGGACAAGTGGGGTTGTATAAAGTTGAATAGAGTAAGGAAAGAATATGGAGATCTCGACGCCGCCGAATAGGTAACCAATTTAGCTGTTTCCGAAATTCCGAAACATGATCGAACTTTTTAAGACCAAATATGAAGCGGATACAGAGATTTTGTAACCGTTCTAGCTTACCCCAGAGTTCTTCGGTTTCTTACAAATAATTACATTTCTAACGTGAAAACCTCGAAATGGATATTAGGCGATAATAAAAAAGTTTTTTTTAATCAGAAAATGTTTATTTTAATAAAACCCTGTGTCGTTTTCACTTTGACTAGTGTGCTCACCACCAACCACTGCTGGAATGACCACCACCGAATCCAACAGAATTTCCGCCACTGTGACCGCCAGAGTATCCACCTGAGAGTCCGCCGCTGCTTCCGCCGGAGTAGCCGCTAGAGACCGGCACGACTTGGTTGACGGTGACGACGCGGGGCTCGGAGATGACCTTTCGCACGTAGACCACCTGCGGTACGCTGACCTCGCGTTGCACGTTCACCACCTTGTTGACGGAGATGACCTGGGCAGCAGGCGCGGAGTAGCCACCGCTCCCACCACCACTGCCGCCGCTTTGTCCACCGCTATAACCGCCGCTCCAGCCGCTGCTGTAGCCGCGCTTTTCGCGAATCGCGTCACCGGCGCAGGCTGCCACCAGAGCCAACAGGAGTACCTGAACACAATAGCTATATTGCAAATACCATCCAAAGTATACAATTCAGGAATAGTTATGTTTCACTGATATTTTTATCTAGTCGATAAAGAAATTGTTTCGTTGTTGGATTTGAAAAGTACTTAGTGCTGAATTTCGTAGCCCATCACGTCCCTGTCACAACTTGCACAAAACCGCAACAACTACCTTAAACGCTAATGAAATAATGGGCAATAACTATTGTTGAAATAAAGACTAAAAATGTTCAAAGTATGTCTCATATGGTTGTACTTTGTTTTCTCTGTGACTTGTCCCAGCGTTATGTGGTTGTGTCAATCGATGCACCATCCCTTGCCGTTACTATATTTTGTAACGTTATGCACTCTGTGCCCTTGAAAAGTCGAACACAACGTTTTATAATTCTTTTCTTTTCTTTCTTATTAAAAGGGTCAACACAAAAATACATGAAACGGAAACAAAGAACACCCAGACTCAGAACGACGATTTGTGAATCACTCAAATTATAAGCTGAATAGTTTAGACGTGAAAACTATCAAACACACATACAATAGTAGTTATAATAAATACAATATGTATTGTATCGTTGGATACTCACAAAAGATTTCATGTTGGTGTTCTAGTTATTTGTTGATATGTGATGCTGTGTTCGACTCCCTGCTCGTATATATATACGGGCCGCGCTGTCTGTGGCGCAAGCGCGCTCTCGTACTCACTGTGCATCAGTGCAATGATCATACGTTACAATCGCACCTGAACAACCTTCACGCAAACTGCACTAGTCATTAGGTCATTCTAATTATTTAATTTCTAGCTCTTGCCCAAAATTTTGTCTCAGAATCGAGGACTAAGTCAGAAGTCAAAGTATCTAAGGTTATCCTTAATAAAGGCCAAGAAATACAGTTGCATTAAAAAGTTCGATGTTTTTGAAGTGTGTCTTTTGTTTGCTCCGCCACGTTATCGTTAAATTTGTCGAAAATTTATCAAAATCAAAGGGAACAAACTAAAAATTTATCTAAGCAGAAATAAAGAAGTTATAAGGGTTTAAAAGCTGGCCGCGCGAACGTTAAGTGAGGCTTGCGCGGCCACGGAGATCTCAGCAACTACTTATGTCAGAGATCTAATTCTCCAAGTGTTAAATTAGCATTGTACTCAACAGTGCTGTACCATTTCTGTATTCAGAAGATCATAATGAAGAAAGAACTTGAATAGTTTGCCACAAATTCAAATCACTTACCAAAATATTATTTACATTTTCGCGCCAACTAAACACAAGATAAGCAGCCAGCTGATTGGTAAATAAGCCGTGACGCACGATTACGCTACCTATTCTGATTGGCGTTTGCAATCACGTGACTCACGGATTAAAAATCCTATTTTTTTCAAGGGAAAATAAACTAGTAATTATCATTCCATCACTTATATTATTTCAGGCTTTCTATCAATAAATCTATTTAATTTTATTTTTTTATTTTTTATTTTTATTAAAAAGACAACTCCCGCATTAGGAATAAATCCTGTGTCGCGGGGGATTTTACAAACATACATGAAACGGACACAAAGAACACCCAGACTCAGAACAACAATTTGTGGATCACACAAAGTGTCGTCCCATGTGGGGTTTGAACCCACAACACTCGGCGTAGTAGGAAGCGGCGTGGCGACCGCTTAAACCACTACGCCATCCGTGCAGTCCCCAACTTTAGCATTGTATTTATAAACACACACTTTTACAAACAATACCACTAAATAACGCCTTGGTCGCATTAAAATATCGCTTTGATGTTAATACTGTACTTACTGTCTCGTAAAATAATACTGTGTCGGCTGATGTGCGACAGCTGGATCGTGGCAGTCAGAGCTAAGCTACACGATGCGTTGCTACACGGTGCGGTGCCCAAGCCAGATGAGACCCCAGGAGGCACCTGGGGAGGGCCAGCTCCGAGCGACCAGCGACAGAGGCGGCGACTTACGCGCTACTTTATACGCCCTTGAGGGATAATCCTCAGGAGGGTGGCCGTGTACTGCTCTTCGCTGATGGCGGTCATCAACTCCTAGAGGATGCGGATTGCGGCCTGGACTACAGCCTTACAGATTGGGCCGATAGGCGGGGGAAGCCCGCAGCTCCCCGGGATAGGGCTTTACTGGGCGCGGCGTCGATCTGGGGGGGACCTGAAATAACATGGTCCGAGTCCTCCTCGGAGTAGGGCGCCTGAGTCCGGCTGTCGGGGTGGTTTTTAGTGGAAACACACATACTCCTGGCTCCTACATCCTCAAGGAGCCCGAGATCCGATGGGATTTTCCACCCCGTCAACAACAAAAAAAAGGGACTGTTTTCCTATGATATCTCCGTCGTATCTCATAAACATATAACTTCCTTACAGATATTCATAAAGTGTAGTCGTAGGCTATCTACATATATTGTAGGTATAGAAGGACTTTTAAAAGTGCGCGGGGGCATTCCCTCCCAAATTAATGTGTGAGCTATTAAGTCTGTTCGACTTCGACTAGTTAGCAAAATTTTTCATTCTGTTCCTGTATTAACGTTGCAAATGAAGACAGCAGATCATCGCGGAGGAAGTTCAAAGCGATCGTTTGTTCCGAATCATGTATGCGTTTTGTCGAAGAGTGATACGGTCTATAGCTATTCAGCTTTCGGTGTCGACAGATCAGGCTCGGAGCTGTGGTGAGGCACAGTAGAAGAAACATTTGTTGCCTTATTGGGTGGTGTACGCTCTGTCATTTTTGTTTATAAGCTTATATTGTGGCGTTCATTATGTTTCAAAAACATTCAAAAATAGGCTGAGTAATGCCGCAATTAGCTGTGGCAAGACACTGCCCACAAAAAGCCTATCTATATTAATATTATAAAGCTGAAGAGTTTGTTTGTTTGAACGCGCTAATCTCAAGAACTACTGGTCCGATTTGAAAAATTCTTTCAGTGTTAGCCCATTTATCGAGGAAGGCTATATATCATCATGCTTAGACCAATAGGAGCGGAGCACCAATTAAGAATGTTTCAAAAACGGAGAAAAATTATTACTATTGAGAGACGCAGACGACTAGTGTAGAATACAAAACAATGAAGCGCGGCGTCCGATCAACAACACGTCGACCTCAACTCAAAACAGTCACAATCAAGTCTCACGTCCAAGATATGTAGTTACTAATATAAATTACATTATTGTGGTGGCACCACGGGTCCGGGCACAGCAACGCAACGTCGCGACCGAAAGGTCGTAAGAGCACTGTATACGACGTCGCTTACGCGTACACACTTAATGCCTTATTATGGTGTAAAGTGTTACCCGCACGCTATACGCTAAAAGTTATCGTTGCCAAACAGTTCGGTTGCAACTACATTCACTATGATTTAACTAGTAATAGACAGTTATTCAGAATAATTAAAGTTCGCACTATAGCACTGCACTGTAAATCAACTTGTACCACCATTAAATAGTATAACCCAGTGGAGCTGTTAACAACCAATCCGTAGTGACAGTTCGCGACGGAATGAACACAATACAAGAACCGTTTAATCCTACGGCGCGACAGTATTATCCATGACAGCAATAACAATTATTCTCCTTAGAATTCACGTTACTAGACATACAGCAAAACACAGGGTAACCATCCAGAAAAATATAGCAAGTTCTATCTAAGGGAGCGAGGCTCAGTGTCGTATCACATTTTATTACGTATCATTTTTTATTAGTTTTTACGTAATTATTTCCACAGAATGTAGGAAAGGGAAAGGAAATATGTTTAAAAATATTTAATTAAAATAACGAAGATGTTGCGCACACAAACAAAAAAACCACTTAAATTCAGTTTCTTCGCCATTTTAATTGGGTTAAAATTCAACAAACCCCAAACTTGTGCAATTCATGACGTTTGATACATTACAGGTTATAAATATGAATTATAATACAAAGAAACAGATTTAGTTGTACACAAATTACATCTTTATGCTTAGATTAAGCATCAAAATGTACTTATAATCACTAACTTATCGGACGCTGGTATACTACTTCAAATGTACTCAACCAAATAGACGTATTATTCTCCGCAGTTTACACTAGAATGTAAATTCCCTAGGTAGGTAATATCAGCCGCTTGCGTTTACACGTGGCGACTACCAAAAATTATTCTGTAAGTGTTGTGATTTTAATCAACTACTAGAGTGTAAGTCAACGAGCTTGCATTCAGTTTCACATCTATATTGCCAGAGGTAACCAAACCATACCTTACTCAAAATTGAGTCAACGCCATCTATGGGCAAAATTGTAAATTTATCATTATATTTAATTGTTAAGGGTTTCGGGTTATTTATTTCTTATAAAATGTTTTATATTCATGAATCATTATGATAAAAGCTTTTAAACAAAAAGAATTCTACACAGTTTAAGTGAATGATAGTCGGATTAAGTCCGAACACTTCCTCTGAGCACCACAATACAAGTGATAGAACAAAGTGAATGCAAAGTGAAGCAACGCCAGGGGTTTAAGACGATCTAAAATGTCCTGGCCGTCGACGACCCGAGTCTGTCTCCGTTGAATGCGGAATATTTAATACTTTTACTTATTCGAGTTATTGTTACTTTCTTACACGAGGTTGTGGAAGCCCTCAGCCATCCAAATGTAGTAAACAATACATTTTCTTTCTTCAAAATTCAGCAGAAAGGGTCAGAATAAAGTAAAACTTGGTATTAGATGCCCCATTCTAACTTTAACTTTAACTAACTAAAAGTAAGGTATGACAAAATCGACATGGAAGCTATAGTGCGCAAGTAATAAATAAGTATTTATTTATTAAAAACTATGGAGGTTTTACAACTATGATGATCAGAATAAAAGCAGTCAAGAAAACAGATAGCCAAATCCTCACTTATATAAATCAGAGATAAGTTACAGTGCACAAGACAATACAGAATATTATTACTTTTACATTACAGATTATTTTCGAAATATAAAATCTCTGGCGTAATAGGATGCGTGGATCCTACCTACCTGATGATATGGCGAAGAGCGCTGTTACTGTCGCATAGGAAACCACGCAAGGAATGTGCAAATGGCAGTATAACGGCACTGCAACGAGAAGAAAAACTTGAACCAACCCAGACGGACCGGCAGACGGCAAGCATGGTATAGTAGGCCAAACCCTTCTTTCTAAGGAGAGGCCTATGTCCATGATGACCCTATATTATCAACACCCACTCTTTGTATGTGCCTCTAACTTATTTTGTTTTTTGGTTCTATGGTTTTTGCCACTTAAGTATGGTTTTGCTATTTTAAGTTTAATATTGTATAACTCAGTTCTGCACTCCACCAAAACAGAAACCTTTGCGTTCACCGCTTAAAAAACCTGTTACTGTTGCCCTAAGGTTCCAAACCAAGCTAATATTAAAAAAGCTCGGTGTGCTTAATAGACCGTACCTGGTCTCAGGGCGGGAGCTCCTAGATATCCGCTCGAGCCTTTTGACTCGGTTCTTAGACTTGCGAATTATCGATGATCCCAAACTCACAAGCGATGTTGAATCTCCGAGATACTTATTTATTTATTTATGATAGATACTTCAATGACTTATATATTCACTATTACATTCAGCA